TCTACCCGCATCCCCTAACATCTGAAAGCGGGCACAAACAATCTTCTCCTGGTCTGAGTAGTTAAGGACCTCAAAGATCCTCTCGAGGTTCATGAACCAGTCATCAACTGCTTGTGGCCCGTCTGCACCGGTGAAAGTTGGCGGGGACAGAACATGAAACTGACCCATGATCTGAACATGGTTCTGCCCCTGATTAGGAGGGGGTTGCTGGAAGACAGGGGGATGCTGATGAGGTGGGGGCTGCTGAAAGATCGGCGGCTGCTGCTGATTAAGGGGGTCTGGCTGCTGGTCGCCGCCCCTACCTCCTCGTCCCCCTCGTCCCTCTCGTCCGGCTCGTCCCTCCTCGGCCTGAAAGAAAAATATTTTTTATTGATATTCCAATTGTATAGTTATGTTTATACCTTTAATTTTGAGAATAAAAGTCAATAGTTATAATTTTATGTTTAGTTTTTATAATGTTTTTCAGCGAAAAAATTACTCAATGAATTAAACATAAAGACATCATATAAAATTGACAAATTTTAATCTTCTAAGTTCTATTAACTTTTATTTTGCCGCTTTATATGATTAACTATGATAGGTTTTATATTATGTAGTTAAGAATTTATAATTCCGAAATGACCCACGAATGTGAAAGATGTATAAATAAAATTAAGACTACATTATGCTCTTATATTGTGGTTCTAAAATGAAAGATATTATGATTTTATAATTGAAAAACTCAAATGAATGGTTTTGAAAATTTAATGGATTAAATTAATAGATAATTTAACATTAATCATAGTATTACTTACTTTTTGTTTGATATCATTATTAATTGTATTGAGATGTGTAGAATTAGCACAACATTCTAAACAATTAGCAACTTATTCTGTAACAGCCCAGTCAACCCGTAGTAGAATATTGTCCGCTTTGGGTATACACCAGATCATTCCCTCACGGTTTTGCCTTTGGGAGCTAGCTCACCAAAACGCGTCCTACTAGTGAAGGTATCCCCAGCCACTTATAAGGCATGCTTCGTTCCCCTTCACAACCGATGTGGGATATCTGATCCACCCTCCTTGGAGGGCCCAGCGTCCTCGCTGGCACATCGATCCAGGTACTGGCTCTGATACCACTGTAACAGCCCAGTCAACTCGTAGTAGAATATTGTCCGCTTTGGGTATACACCAGATCATTTCCTCACGGTTTTGCCTTTGGGAGCTAGCTCACCAAAACGCGTCCTACTAGTGAAGGTATCCACAGCCACTTATAAGGCATGCTTCGTTCCCCTTCACAACCGATGTGGGATATCTGATAACACTGTAACGCCTACTTTTGATTTAAAGAAAATAGTTATATTTTCAAGAAAATTTAAACTTTTCAAAAATCTGAAAATCCTTTTTATTGGGTCGTTACTCATAAAATTCTTTCTTTTCTGAAAACTCTAACTCTCAACTTGACTGGAGACATGCAATAACTCAAAAATGCATTAAGTCTCAAAATACTAAATT